GGTGCGCACACGTGTGTGGTGGTTTTGGAAGTGGGCGCCTGGCGGGACTAGCCTTCTGGCCCTTCCCTAAAATTTTTAAAAAAAAACAAAAAAAAAAAAAAAAACCCCCCCCCCCCCCCCCGCCAGCTTCATTACCTTGAATTGTTATGTCTTGTATGGGTTATGATACCACTATAGAAGGATCTTTTCTTTCCCTTTCCCTTTTTTTCATCTGTTCATATTCAGTCTTCCCTGGGGGGGGGACTACCTGGCTAGGTCAACAAAAGGCAAATCGGCTGCATACAGGACGGCGTTCAGGACAATTCTTAGGACCCAAAATCTGGCTAACGTCTTTTCTTTTCGGGGTGGTAACCAAGCTTTCATTAAAACCGGCGTGTCTTTCAATTGGCCAGAATTTTGATTCTTTTCCTTGTGAGAGTCGTCTTTTTCTCTCATTATGTGGCATGAACCCCGGATGCATAGCAAGGCAAGACAGGACATACTTTAGGTTTAGATAGGAATCAATAGTATCATTTTTATATAGGAAATTCGAGTATATTTGAACAATCACAGCCGTTTTTTAACCTCGCAGTTGAACAACTCATAACTGATCGGTATAGGGTATATATAGACTAAACGGGTCCCTTCGCTTTTGATAGATGTCCCTTCTCTCGCATCAGGTTCAGGTATTCCATGGAAGCTAATCGATCAAGGCCTACTATATTATGTTATTCGATGATTATACTTGTATTCTTATACAGCGAATATTAGATTAACTGAACTCATCTACGGTCACATTATTATATAGTTCTTACGTTGCTCATCCCAGCCCGAATATCCGTTCGCTGTACGAAAACAATAATATTCCCCAGCAGTACACCGTTGGGCTATGGCCTGCACATCAAGCTGTTCCCGTAGCCGTGGATAATCGGAATAGCTTCATCGTTACCAATCCTGATGTAGTTCAGCCGAATTCGTACTACCGGCCTCAGTTCCTTGCAACCCTTGTCAACGATGAAATACCGCTTACTGTCCGGATATGCGTGTGAGATTCACCAATTCGCTGACCATGCGGGAAATGGGGCTGGGGTAATTACCACGTAAGTGGCGAAGGAAGGGTAGGCAGCAACGGCAACTAAAGCGATGGCCAGCGTCCAAGGCGAAGTAAGAATATCGATGGTGGCGTCAGGGGTCCAGAGGGGAGAGAACAGAGATATACATTGTATATAGCTAGAAAAGTCTGAATATTTTCAGACTTCCGACCCTTCGAACTTTGTACCGCAATGAGAGCCAATACTGTATGTATACTTTGTACAGCCTTTCTGGCAGATGGCTATTGTATCTATGTCTTCGACTCCAGACCTGGCGCTCTGAACCTCCCTTGTGGATATATACACAGTTAGATGGAGACACCTATACGGGATCTAAGGCGGACAAAGGCGGCCAGTTCGTTAATCTACCTTATATATATATACGCTCTTCATGATGGGCGACAACAGGCTTTTATCGGACACCCGTTCACATCACTGACTGGTATTTCCTATCAGGCTTTGCCAGCGTGGGGGTCTGGAGGGGACATATGTCCGCCTTTTGCTACCTAGACATATAACACCTAGGGGAGGGGATCAACTTCTGAAACAAGTTTTTAAAGGCTACGGAGAAAACGGGATAGAGGTAAATTGATTGAGAGCGCGAGATAGGGGGATTGTGGCTTAACGCGCCCTTGGAGGTTGGAATTTGGCTTCTGTAGCCGTGTATATATATACATGATAGCGTATCACACTTCTTGTATCCTTGCGGATGCTGAGGCACTGCTGTTGTTTTTTTGGTACAATTAGGGTGCCTTAACGGCATTAAACACTACCTACCTATTTAGGTACCAATCAGTTAATCAATCTCCTTTTGATTTAGGCAATTGAGCTGATCGGATCGAGCAGCAATATCAGAATGAAGTTTCACAATACCATGAGTAGCAAAAATATTGGTAGGCGGGTTTTAGTGAACATGAGTGAATATATGGCCCTGCATTCGACCGTAGTATTCAATTGCGTTAGTTAAGCAAAGTTACCCTGCTATGTATATGTCCTGATCATGATGTCTTTTACGCACATTCCCTTTCCACATCATCGTTATTTTCTGTACTGTATTGTATTATTTAGTCCCCGGACATTGATACTGTTGGCTAAGGTCACCTTAAAACCTCCGGTATCAGAGAATGCCAGACAAAGCATCGTCGCCGAGTCGCCAACCCGATAGTCAAACGATTCCCCTGGTTATTTCCGCCTTAGCAGCTCGGGCAACAACCTAGCCTACCTTCGTCTCAAGAGATTGGTCTCCATCATTTTTCCCTGGGTTATTTCGTTCGTTCAAGATATTGGATGGCGTTGGGGAACATTGTACTGTAAGCTGTTCGATGATGGCGAATGGACGTGTCGTTCTTTCGGTGTGAAACTTCACAGTACATGATTTCCGATATCATAGTACTTCATCGCTCGAGTGTATCGTAGTATGACTGTTGTAGTTTTATTCTACTACAGGATTCGAGTTTTGATCTGATATTTTCCGTCTGTCTTGTCGGCAATGATGTTCTTATTTCTTCTTAGGGGTATACAAGGTGATCGTTGAATATTGAAACAACACAATGGATGCAAAACGATAATTGAACAATGCTATCGGGGGATGCGTGGTGGTATACAATGTGGTCCTAGGACGTTGGAAAGAATACGAAGGGTGCAAGAAGGCGAGTAAACAAAACTTTTAGATAGCGCTGGTGGATCTAGGAATCTGCTTTGGGACCGAGTATAGAGTATCTGGACTTGAAGATCGACTCATCACTGTCGTTTATATGCTCATGCCGGAAGCTCTGCAAACGCTTGATGTGATTCTTCGTTGTCGCATAGTTTAGACGGCTTGGGCGAGGATGTCCCATTTCGACTTCGTTGTATTCCACATCTTCGACACTCTCTAGAATTTTCTGCGTTTCTTCGTACGCGCTGCGCGCGAACATTTCTCCCACGTTGAAATCTATCTGTGGCTGGGGCTGTGGTATATTAGGAGGACTTAGGGGCTCTAGAGGGGAGAACGAAAACTGTCGTTCTTCAAATTTGATTGGGACAGCTTCTGGGCCAAGTGAGCCAGACTGTGCACCACCACGACACATCACTATACCAGTCAGTGTTCTCTTCTTTATAATGTGCCGGCTATAAAATGAGGTACTGGAAAACTACTCACGGATTCCATCCCCAACATCTTCCCAACTAGGACCATCGCTTACTGCTCCAGGCGTCTTGGCCCCGAGAGTGGCCCGTGGTCGAAAGCTGGGTGAATCTTTCCAATATTCATGTATATCGTCAGCTTCTGGACTGTGACTGCTCGGTGGTCTGCTGCATCCAGGCGGATGAAGGACTGGTGTCTTCTTTTTATACGTGGATAAAAGATCCTCGGGATTTTGTGGTGTCCACTAGAGTGCTTAGTATTAGCGGTCTGCACACAAGATATTGGTTCTACTAGGAAAGGCTTACCTGGTCTAGCATTAAAGATGTTCGCTGACGACGCGAAAGTCGTGATGCTGGCACCAAAGGCTCTAGAATCGGCTCCGGATTCAAATACATTTGATCGCTGGATCCATTTTCCGAGTCTCTGTCACCTACGTTTCACTGTCAGTAAGGCACACATGCAGTTAATACTCAAATGGCTCTGTGAACTAACCATTGTGAAGTTTTATCGGGCCAATTTCTAACGAATCTGGGACTAGAAATACCACGTGTGTAGCTAGCATTAGCTTGCGTAAGAAGCTGCTGCAGGTATAACATGGATCCTTGTCAAGCGTGATAAAGGCAGTGCCGTTGTCACCAAGGTTCAACCCTTTAAGGCGGTAGAGCTGTTTTACGAGCTCTTCTTCGTGGCCGTTACACCCTAGCTCAGTCCGGAGTAGATGAACGATGTACCACTAGAGGCAGAAGTAAGCGGATATGCTTGTGCGACAATGCATGTGGTACAGTCGATATGGAAGTGACTTACAGAGGCAAGCAGAACCTCAACGTGGCCAGCATGTGCCCTCCCTCTGAACTCCTCCGACACGGGAGCGCCATTTGTATCTCTTTGAGTCGTTGGGAATTTGAATCCGATTTCTCGTGCGACGTGATCTGTCAGACTAATATCAGTAGGACGAACTAGCCGCAGATGAACAACGCTTATATAGGGTAAGTAAGAAACTTACGAAGGGCTAACTGGTTCCATTTCTTCGTATCGAGACACTTGTTGTGGCTCCAAGCATTGCTGGTATAACCTGAATGCGCCACCATGAGAATTTCCGGGCTGTTCTTCGCTATGATCGTCCCGATCGTTTTCGCTTTGTCCAGTTTACAGCCTACATCTACCTCCATAACCTTCTTGTAGACTTGAATCATCCTGCCGCTTCGTGCTAGGAAGTGTTCATGATACCCAAACCCAGACTCAGCCTCCAAATCATTGGCAGGCATACCTTCAGGATGCGAACTGGAAACAGACTCCATCGAATTGTTACCAGAACCGGCGCTTGTACCACGGGAGGAGAGAGCAGGGAATAATTGAGATTAGGTAAAGGTAAGTGTGATGCGTTCACCGGACAGGAAAGATGAAAATAAGTAGACAAATCCAGGCAATAGGAATCCCATGAAGTGGTGCGAGTAGAGTTGAAGTAGGACGTGAGGAGGTGGGTAAGTACGTGGTACCTAGGTAGGATCTAGGAAGGCAGTTACGGAGGAGGGTACTTGGGTCCTGGTAGTTGGGCAAGCACGTGTGGGTGCATTTTGTTTTAATCTAGATATATCTACTATCTAGTCCCTACTGTGCCTATTGTGGTGAGCAAAGAGGCTCCTATGGTGATATAGATATGTTCAGTGATGGCTGTCTGCCACTGCACGGGAATCCGACGCTCATGCAAGCAAGGCTTGCACAAACGGAGTATCACATACTCTTTCCCACTCTCCTATTCTGCTCTCCTATCCTGCTCTCAGTCGAGTGGCCATCTCTGTGGCAGAGTACAAGCGCAGCGGCGCTGATACTCGTCTCGAGTTACCTGCCTATAGGGTAGACATGTGTGTATATAGTGGCGTGATGGTTCATGATGAAGTCTGAGGCGACACTAGCACGACGCTATCGCCTACAAGTGAAAAGTTAACAACTACCAATGTCACTGCCCCGGGCGTTCGCTTTTGCTACCTACCTCGAACAAACAGCATTTCCGACTTCTTCGTGGTGGTCTATATGAAACATGAGCAAGGCGTGTAAGCACGGAAAGGGGCGTGGGGGGCTGGTGGAGGGGCCTCACCTTGATATCCTCATCTTCATCATCCTCGTCGATGATATAAATGGTTTCCACCACGTCACCGAGCACAAGGTTCATGTGGCTGTCGTAGGCCTAATGGACATGTTAGCAGGACATGTTCGCAATAGTGGGACTTGATGATAAGGCAATGCGAGAAAGCGCGCACATATAATCGTCCTTTCAATTCCCGGTCACCCCGCAGCTTTACAAAGACAACCTCGTCAAGCAGAAGGCGCACGAGGTCAAGGGGTTCCGACACAGAGCCAGCCGGCCCTTCTTCAACGTCGGCCATGATGACGGCGGCAATGCGCAACGGTGAAGAAACAACGTCGGTGGTGTTTGCCGGAGGACGTGAGCGAATATATGCTGCTATAGTTTTGCGCTATGCTAATTTGACGTGGTTCTACTCAGGATAACGTGCAGATCAGCACCGAACAATGGATGTATATAGATATTTACACGGAGGCAGGCGGATCGCAACCTAACCTCCAAGTACTAAGTATACTTGGCAGGGCTTGTAGGTGGGCAGGGATATATATACTGTACATAGGTACCTGAAACAGATGGCGATAGGTAGGTAGGTAGGTAGCTTGGGGAGCTATGACCACACTCGGTACTTACCTACTTCGTACCTAAGTATTTACACCGGCGATAACTACCCACCCCCAGAGCTACCTAGGTACCTACCCCATACCTACCTACCTTCATCATACGTTTCCAACTCACAACTCACCCAGGATGTGGAGGTGAACATCTCCTGAGCACCTCGCTCTCAATCAATCATGTCATCACAAACCTAGGTAGCTTTGAATGTCATCATGCTGTCAATTAATTCGGCCATCGAGAGTCCCGGTTGCCGTGTCCGTGTCCTGCTTCAGCGCGCCCCTAGGGGAACGCCCTCGAGTACTCTGACTCTCCGGCTTCGTCGATGTTACCACCATCCAAGGCTCTGTCGTCCGCCCACCGCTTGTTCTTCACCACTACATGTCCCGCAAAGCGTCTGCTCTTCTGCTAGTTTGTACCCCAGCTTCAATCGTCCCCAGGGCTTTCGCCTAGCCACGACGAGTGTCTTGCCCCCGCTTTCGTCCCTCTCACACGAGGCTGTCGTCCATGTCCAATCCCTCCTGGTCGCGCGCTCGAATACCAACGTTTTGCATAACGCCGACCACCCCAATCGCTCGAATGTCTTCGATGTGGATGCTGGCGATGGCCAAATACCGATGCCAACTCCAACTTCAGCTCCCTACGAGTCCAGCACCCAGTCTGCGGACCCGTTTCGAGAGGTTCTAATATCGATACGCGAGGGAGACACTCGTAAGGCCCTGTCCCAATTACATGTGATAGAAGAGATGAGCCGAGAGGAGATTCGAGATGCTGTCGCGGCTCTTCCCCGAACCACTTTCACAGAGTTCTTTATGGCCCTTGACCCTCTGCGTGTTGCTCGCGACTGTGATTCGCTAGGCAACTACCACATTTCGGTAGGCATGTACCAACTGCTGAACATGACATCAATCCTCGATGATTACGGTGTGCGGAAGCTCTATACGAACCTTTTGCAGCGCTTTCTAATACTCATGAGTGCCCTCAAAGCTGCTGGCCACACTCTACACCTGAAGGAGTACATCGCAATAATTCGCTGTGCTGGCGCCGCTTCCGACCTCTCCGGTGCTGGTCATCTTTGGAGAGATCTGAGCGCCACGCCTCTCTTGAAATGGCGGCATAGCGAGCTTTATAACGAATTCATGAAGGCACGATTCCTAACTAAGCCCCTATACACGAGCTATAGGAAAACTATGAGGATGGTCACGCCGCGAAACTTGCATCGATCTCGTCTGCTGCTGAGCTCACGTACTATTCAATATTTAGACGTCTTGCAGAACCGCCTAAGAATGAGAAGACTCCGATTCGACCTAGACAAAGATTCAGATGTTGTAAGTGAGCTGATGAGAAAGATCCGACTACCCGGCCCAGCAACTAGGCTCTTTTGGACTATCATAGGGTATCATAGCTTTCGTATAGATGAGTCTCTCCTGTGTACTATCATGATCGCTCTTGGTCGAGCCGGTTCCTTACGACAAATCGGTACTTTAATCCTAGAAACCTATTTTAATATCAGAAACCCGCATCCGTTCCCTGCAACCCACGAGAGCCAGATACGGAATTATTATCTTAGCTCGGATCCTCCTCGCATTCGACCTACAGTCCGTCTCATGCGAGCCGTTGTGGAGACGTATGGCTCAAACTGTGAGATTAGTGTTGCTATCCAGCTAGTTGAACACCTAGCAAACGCCTACAACATCCCTATTCCTCATGATGTCTGGCACGATTTACTGGAGTGGACCCACATCATGAGCACACCGCCGGCTTCTACATCTTGGAGAATGACCCCCCTGCGACATAAGGTTCCAGGTCCTCAGGCTGTGGAAATGATCTGGAATGTCATGACCTCTCCCCCCTATAACCATGCCCCCACCTTTGCGGACTATGACATACTTATCCGGAGTCTGATCGGCCGGCGCGTTGCCCTAGAACTGGTTCTAGCGCACATGAGGGACGCCATTCCGCTATACGATGAGCAATGTCGGGAATATGAGGCAGCCGTACTCGAACATACGCTATATCTACGCATCGGAACTCTACCAAGCACAACAATCGATCGGTTTGAGCGAGCGCGATACAAGAAGCAGATGATGTGGTTTAAAATTAGCACCTGGTGTCGCATGTTACTTAAACGGCTCCCAACTTCCTCGAGGAGTCCTATTCCTAATCCGCTTGCTCCTCGTTTCATTGAAGAATTTGAACATTTTCTCTATAATAATATCAAATATCGAACGCCGACGGGCCACGTCACGCTGTTTGATCCTTCTTTAGAGACCTTCCGGCTCATAGTGACTGGCCAAATCAAACAGACAATGCCGATGAAAAACAGGCAAGGGAAATGGATCCGCAAGAAAATCCTTACAGACCAGTTAGAAATCGTGTCAAGCCATTCACTCGCCAACTTCGAGGCACCAAAGCTTCGTAACCCCTTAGAGGTCATCGCCCCGCACAAAAGTTCGTTTGTCCCTCCCATCTTACCTCCCGATTCACCGAGCCTTCAGTAGACGAATTCGTTGAATCACCGACGTCGAGAACGGGTCCAAGAAACAAACCATATGAAAAGTTGCAATTTGCCGGGCTACAAGGCTACCTTGTTACAGCTGAGTCGTCTGTAATCTCTTGGTTCTGGTATCGATGAATAATGCAGTGAAAATCCGATTAGTAGTACGAATAATAGAATTGAGAGCATCGTTGAACGCGCATTGCGCCCATTAGTACTCTAGTGGGGTATGATGCTCGAGCGTCATATCAACCTTTTAAGCCTCTGTTGCTTAGTATAGATGAGCTGGTCCTCCTGCCGGATGGTTTATATTCTATGCATAATGAGATCACGATATGTAGGATATTAATTACCGGATATTTCAAGTCTGATAAACGATCTATCAGCTATGTTATGAAATTAAAACCTACTCGTTTTTTTTTATATACGACATGTGGGTGGTATCGCGGCGTTTAGCTATTACTTATGCACTTTACATGACTACGGGCAGAGGTGTCCGCGAGCATGAGCCTCTACTCGACTCGAGCTCGAGACATCCTGATTTGTGAAGTGATCCTTCACTAGCAACATTCTTTTCGCACATATAACGACACACTCATCTTCCTTTCGACGGTGAGTTGGCTACCTAGCTAGCTGTTTTTTCGGGATCCGTCAGGTACATGTGACAATCATGGCATAACAACAAAAGAATAAATGCGCTACGATAGCAGAGCGACACGATTCTCCTCATGGCGGCTATATGCGATTTGTAGCCCGTTTGTCGGCATTGTATATACAGTATGATAAGTTGAAAGTTGAAAAGGTATTTGTGGAGATTGATAGATAGATGGCTACATATAGTGCGAGCAAATGAGAGAAGAGGGAACAGATGCTGGCTGTAGAGATACTAGAAGACCCCAATGTTATAGCACAAGAACACATGGCTGCTTGTTTTTGTTTTTTTTCACTGCCTGGTACGCAAGTATTGGTTACCGTGTACGAGATCACTCAAGGATCTTTTCATTTCTCTATACTTTACGCCTCGACATGCTCGAGCCGCAAGTCGTTGATGACCATATATCGGCTCAGCGCTATCCAGCCCCAGCGAAACCAGACCATCTGGCTCTTGTGGGCGTCCGTCATGGCGCGGCGGGCAGAGCCGTAGCTCTCGCGCCCACCCGTCAGAGCGCTTACGTGGACCAGTTTGTCCGGGCTACCCTTTTTGTTCTTGCGCGTGGCGCTCAGGCCCACGAGAGCCCTCGTGGCGAAGATATCCATGAAGCCGGCATATTTGCGCAGCATGCCGACCGACGTCAGCGTGTAGAGGTCCACGGGCGAGGCCCGACCCGGCCTCTTCTTCAGAAGCCCTGAGATGAAGCCCCGCGCGCCGTGGTAGAGGGAGATGTGATTCGGGTGCGAGGATACGCCGGACTTGTCGAACGTTATGAGGGCGTCGATGACGACCATGGACCCTTCCTCGCGGGAGTTGCCATAATGCGGCGCGAATGCACTGCGGAGAAGGGTCGAGATGCGGTCGGCGTCCCATTTCGCTGTCATGGAGTCGGGGAAATCCCTATGGTTAGATGTATCGTTAGTATACATGCTTGTTATCTAGATGGTTTCAAGCCGGGTCTGTAGCAACACGATCTTTTCAACTATATATACGCCCATATCGAGTGTCGGCGAGACGAAAGGACAGGGTATGCATGGCTCGATGTTATCATGGATGAGAAGAGAAACTGTAGCGAAACTCACGGGCTATCCATGACAAAGATGTCTTCCTCCCGTCTCAGGCCGAGGAGCATTGCGCTCTTGACCAATTCGCGCCGACGGGTTTCGCCCAAGCCGTCGGCATTGCCCGTGCTCAGGCACAGGATCTTGACATGGTTCCCATTCTCGGGACGGGTCAGGGCGAGGACAGTGGGCGAGAAGAACATGGCCTCGTCGTCCGGGTGGGCGATGAGCAGACATATCTTTTTGTCGCGTAGTGTTGGGTAGCTTCTCTGGGTGGTGGTACTCGTGATGGTGTAGATGAGGGGCAGCAGGCCGAGGCAGATGAGCGGGACATTGTGGGCATTGGACTTGAGGAGGTCCATCGCCCTGTCCATCGCTCTGGTGTAAGCGGACATCGCCATGGCTCGGGAAGGGAGGTCTTGTCTTGCTAATTGGCGTTGTTGAGGGGGAGGGAAGGGAGGGATCGAAAGATGCAGTCGTCACCACCGTGGCGGTCGTCCGGGGGCCGGTCTAGGTAGGTCCACGATAGTGGGGAATCGCAGGGAGGAGTGGAGTGAATACCGGTAGTAGGTGGTAAGTTGCAAGTACTATGTAATGCTTGGTTTTGCTTGTGTCACTCTGTAGAAAGAAGACTTGGTTCAAGGAAGGGGTAGAAAACAAGCAGGGGCCTCCTACCCCTTCTCTTCTTTTGGAGGGAGATGTCAATTGAGTGAACGATGTGAAACCAGCAGAGGTTGCAAGAAGTTTCTCACCGCAAGAGTAGATTGAATGGCTTCAGGTAGGAATTGGAGATGGCGCTTGGCCTGGGCTAGACACGTGAGCCTGAGGACGTGTTCGAATGCCGATCTGGGGAACGGACGATCCCCCTTGCGGTTAGGCCCAATGCCGACTCCGGACAGGTCCGGCCGCGACGGCGGGGGTCGGACTCGAGATATCAAGCGAGCGATACTTACCAAGGTTAGGTAGGCAATAGTAAGTAATATAGAGATATGAAAATGAGTCCAATCTAACGAAAACTAAGTACTCTAGATATGTTTTGCCAGACAAGACATCTATCTACTGCTGGTGCGAGTAAAATACCTACATGTAGGGACTTAGGTACTCACCATACATGTGGGGGTGGGATACTACCTACGTGTATACCTGTGAGTTTTCACTGCAGCAAAATCTCGAGTGCCGCTCAGGTACCTGCATAGGTGCCCAGGTGTTATCTACACGTACCTACAGTGGGTAGATATGTATGTAGGTATGCGCTGGCATGGGTAAGGTTAGATAGCAGGTATTTGTACATTTCGGAGCGTTGAATTGGAATATCACATAGGTACAACAACTCAAGCTGACCCTGACAGTACCTAAGTACATACTTATGTACCTAGGTAGACGCTTAGCTTAGCTTACCTAAACCTTATCAGTAACTACCTACGATCTCTACATGGGTACCCCTAAAAATAGTCGTCGTATCTACAATAGGTACATCACTGTACATCGTAATGTAGCAGTCTGCCAAAACTGACAAGCCTGGAAGCTCTTCACAACTCCCATTCGCTGTCTCTATTGCCAGAGATTATCGCCAATGCCAACTCACGACCCCGACAATGGTCCGGACTCGCAAAGAAAGAAAGGCCGCCGCTGAGATCAAGCTGGCTCAACCCGACCGATCCGCCCCGTCCGACAAGACCTTGCTCGACATAGCCCAGGAGCGCAATCTTTTCGATCTTGCCGACCAGCATCCCGCGAATCGAACCCGAAATGCCTCCAAGACTGCCGACCGCGGCCATGATGGCGAGTTATCACCTACTGCCGACCGGGTCCTAGAGACTTTTCTCTGGACCGTCAGCTTGGCGATGCTACATTTCACTTTCGATGTCCTGGTGCAACACCAGTACGCCATGGAGATTGACTGGTTCCAGATCGTAACACGCGCAGTCGTGGCCCTCGTCGGTAAGAGATAACACCGCCGTCGCCCGACACGACTTGCTTGCTATTTGAGCATCTGCAGCAAGTCATCCCTCCATTCAAAGCTAACCGTCGCCGCCACAGTCTTCTATGCCTTCTTCTATGTTCTCCATCCCCATGCTTCGTCCCCTGTGCTGCTGCCTGGCCTCCCCCTGCGCTTCCAGGAGCCTCTTCGACAAGCTATATTCTTCGTAGCGAGCACCGCCTCCGGCTGCTACCTGATCGACATTTCCAATAACTACGGGTACATGTACATTATGAAGCGCTCCCCTCCCCTGGGCTGTCTTTGGATCTGGTCCGTCATTGAGCTCAACCTTCCCATGGCTCTTCTCTCTCTGGCCATTGCTGCCGGGTTCTTTTTCCAAGGTGATTATTCCTTACGATTGTGATCACGGGTAATGCAGATTAAGGGCTATATCGATGCACTTTGTGATGAATCAGCGTCGCCGTCTACCTTCGTGATGGATGTCTTGAACTCTCATATCCCTACCATTTCCTGTATCCACGGGCTGGGGGGGACTTCGTTACATGATGACTAGAGTAACCCCCTATGCTTCGTCTGCGAGTAGCTCCTCTGTCGATATAGCTTGGTCTGGTGGCCTTGCAACTGGCCTCCAACACTTGGTGCTTAGGTACGACTCTGGTCATGTGGCTCTTCCTTCGACATCTGAGATATGTGAAATCGGCTAGGCAGGCTCAAACGGAGAAAATGTGAAATGGGCAAGAATAACTCGCCGATAACTACGATGGTCATCATAACTCGATAATGATTCATGGAACACCCTGTCATTTTATACTGTCGTCACACAGTTGTCGTCAACAACAATACGACATTTGATGGTATCGTAGGCTACCAACATGCTGACCAAAACGCCATCCGAGCATGAGATGGAAAAGATGGGCCTTTCTAAATTCTACCCATGGGTTTCATCTACCGCTGTGGCGATTACAGGATGCTATTGCTATATTATGGATGATGCCTTGCCTAGCTTACCTTGTTCCCCTGGTAAAGTACATGCACCGCAGTTATACATGCCTTAACAACGTGCTCTCGGTATGAGGCTTAGTGTGGAGCTCAGGGAGCTCAGGGATATGTGTGAAGGCAGAGCTGTAGCTAAATCAGTAATGTACTTTTCAAGTTATATGCTTCACGGTGAATCTGATGTGAGAGGGGAGCCGCTTCCGATACCTCGTTAAGTGACAAATAGTTGATAACTACCCCCGACCTGGCTGGCCATGATCAAGTCATAGATTTTCGTGACTCTACCTATGTATAGATATAGAACTCTATGAATCTCGCCACGACCCTCGGCTTTTCTGTTGCCCGCGCTGATGCGCTATCAATCAAACTGCTCGCATCGTAAACTGTGACCCTAGCCGATTGTGTTCGGCACAGGTGAAGTAGGTGGCAACCAAAGACGTATCGGCACCATGTAGTACAGCTATTCATCTTCACCGAGCTGGTCCCCCCTTATCAAGTTTCCTATGCATACAATGACCATTTATCACGGAATAGAGCCTTCCTACGTCGTTGAACAGTCCAATTTTCTCGTGCCTTACAACGTGATGTTGGCGTAAATATATTATCCTCTTTACGTTTTTTCCGATCATCCCCTGTCAATTCATTCCTTGGATACTTTGACCCAGGAATTCTCAACCTTGCTTCTACTCTGATGGTCATGACTTATCTAACTTTGATGAGTGGTCGCCTAGACGTCGGTACTCGTCATGAACAACAACCAAAAAGACAAATATAACCCACATACCACCCCGTATACTGGAACAGGACAGAGCAAGGGTGGATTAATTCGCGCGATCTCGGCGCTCCCGGCACCGCTTCCGGCCCCGGTAGCCGCCACGACAGCTATCTCCCCATTCCGTCCCTCACCATCCATACCGATCTCACCGCCATCAACGTTCCGCCTCTGCCTAACCGTACAGATCCCGCCGGTTCAGTTAGCGAGCAAAATTTGGGACTCAATTGTCGGTTTTGTTTACCTAAAGCAGAGATTCAAGGCGTTGAGGGACCCGATACTGTCAACACTCGATCTACCAGGTCGCCATAACGACTTCGCGGAGGAAATGTCCAGCAAGGATACCGTTCTCAAGATCAGCCTGCTTCACTTCGTAAAGGGCAACATTCACGACGATATGGAGAAAGTCGCTACTAGTCGGGAATTCCGCCCTCGTGAGCTAAACGAGCAGGTCAAGTCTCGCGGTGAGAGTGTTGAAGGATTGACGAACGTTGAGGAAGCTATCCGCGCATGGGAGCCGGCTCAGACCAAGCGGGCGGGGGGTATTCCTAGTCTTCCTTGATCTCGCTGATATGCTGATGGTTGGCTGGGATCAGCGACCTGCTTCTGGAAAAGGCTGTGGTTCTTCGTCTAGATGCAATCTTACGGACGAAGATGGGAATGGTGGTGGTGAATAAGAGTATAATATGTTTTGGATGGACTTCGGAGTCTGTTCATGTCTCTTGGCCAATACGAATCCTGGACGGCTGTAGCCAAGCTCAATGACCTTTTGCTCGTTTGTGTGTTTGTGTTCATGACTAAGTCTGGTTTGATTGGGAGTTTGAATATCATGAATAATTACCTCCAACAAAGTCCCCATTCGGACACTCATGGCATATACCTGCGTCCAACAACATATCGTAGTATGACATGTTCTTAGGATATTTATTTTTGCCTCCCCTTTCTAGCACCAGATATTAACAACCAGATCTGAACTTAAGACTTCGAGTCCGGAATCCTGTGATTTGTTCCTGGTGAACAAGAGTGCCCACTATCTAGCCAATGGCAAATAGCCTTGCAATGGCGAAGACAAGCCCTCGGACAAGATATAGTATGATTCACAGGTGTACACTAAGTAATACGTTTAAATACCCAGGTAGGTAGGAGAAGATGAATAGTCGTCGCATGCTGTGGTTCCCAACCTGATCCCCTTGAATCTCTTTGTCAGGGAAGAACACCAATTACGCAGATTTCTTACCTAAGTAGGTAGACAGGCAGGTTATAATGCTTTTTTCAAGCATAAGCTGATACATACGACCATAGGATCTGGAGAACGCGGGGTCCCGTCCGCTCCCCCATAGCTAAGCCAGATACCGCCAGATTAGTAGTTGGGTCGGTGACGACCAGCGAATCCCTGGTGTTGTATGTTTTTGGATAGGGATTTCCAATCACTTTTTTTTGGTCATTTTTTTACTACTGCATTACTCTGAAAAGAACTGTAGCAGCTTTAGCACTGAGCGCAAGGAACATGGATTCCAGCCTTTTACTTTTAACGGACAGCATTTTGTTGTTGCACCTGTTAAGCGAATGGATTGGCAATGGGATTGTATTGATGTTGTTAGGTAAATTCAAGTTCTGGTCACTGAAGGAATCCACTGTGAGGGGTAATATAGCCACACCCCTCAAACTTCTGTGCAGTCTACACCTGTGACTATAGGTAGGTATACAGACAGGTTTCTTTCTACTCCCTTGAGGCTTATTCCCTTCGAGGAACTGGCCACGGTTATTAGAGGATCAATCCCTCTAGCAACATGGATTGGAACTGAAATTTCTAATTGAAATATCATCAAGGCGCTCTCCGACGAACTTCTACCGTCCCAATTACTTGCGCTATCGTGAAGAATCTCGTTTGAGTCCTTTAGGCGTGTGTCTCCAAGTTAGTGTAGATTTGACTAATTGCATAAAAATACATTTTTGCCTGCTATCCCTTTTCCGATATCCGCGATTTATACTCCAGAATCCGGCGCACAGCTCCCACAACCCACTTCCAACAACTGTCACATGGCATAAGAGCCCTTGTCACAACAACCCAAGTACCAGTCAATACAGGACGTCGTTTCATAAACACGTTGCGGGACTTCCGTTGCTTCTGTCACTGGCCCTAGCACCTCTGATATCTATGGAAGAAAGAAGACTGCACCCGGTCACTTTGATTCGACATCTAAAATTCCAAAATCTCGTGATGTCTGTCTGACCGTATAAAGCCGTCGGAACGCCATATATAGAGGATTTATCCAATGATCCTTGATTCAATCCACGGTCGCATGCAACCGACCTAATTAGATGTCGCCCATCGGTCCTTCATCTTTTCCAACCTGGGGGTTTGGTTGTTCTGCCTTGAGTCTTGCAAATGTCTTCTCGGCGTCCCATACAAACGGGGAATGGCTGGCGAAGAGAAGATCCATGTCCTCCAAAGGACGTTGATTGGTCTCTGGGTAAAATGCCCAGACAATCGGTATCGATATAACATTGGCGATCCCAAAGATATGAAGCGTTGTTGCACCAATTCCTAGAGTGTATTAGTGACTACATTGTAAAGTCTCGGATTCCACAATTGAACATACTCTCAAATAGAACAGGGCAAAGAAGTGTCAACCATCCATTGCCTATGCTCCAGCCAACAACACCCCATGCGTTACCTTGCGAGCGCACGTGTAAGGGGAAAATCTCTGCAGGATATAGCCATGGAACTGTGAGCCACGTGGCTCCGAATACCGAGGTAAAGATGAAGACGAATGATGCCGCTGCAGCACCGTACGAATTGGCCTTGTCGACGTTCCCGTTGGCGGCAGCATTTTCACCAAGCTGCGAGAATGCCCCAGCTAGGAACATCTGAGGGGTTACAATCGGTCAGTATCATCACTGAAACTAGAGGCCCAATGTCCTGTATGGACTATGAGAGAAGGACTATACGTACTGCTATTCCCTGACCTACAGCTCCCCACCACAGAGTCCATCGTCGTCCGATACGGTCCAACGTGAAGACGCATATAAGAGTAGCAAACGCGTAGAAGATATTATTGAGACCGCTTATCCATTGGCTCTTTTGAGAATCGAAGCCAGCTGTCCGGAATATGGTAGGTGCGTAAACGGTGACACCAGCGATGCCGACCCACTCTTGCAGAATCTGGAGCCATATGACAAGCTGAACTCGTCTCGCAGTATGCAGGCTATCCGAGTCGGTTCCAAAGAACATGTGCAGATACGAGGTCTTCTTCGCATCTTGGTGTTCTTTGGCAAGGACGTTACGGATCTCTTGATATTCTATATTCGCCCGAACCACATCATCGCCCGTGGAGCCACGAAGTCGGCGAAGAATATACTGTGCCTCTTCATCTCTTCCGACCTTCACGAGATAGCGGGGCGACTCTGGGAAGAACCAGACCGACCCGAATAGTACAAGAAGTGGGATAATCTTTTATGAGATCCTTGTGTCAGCAAGTGGAACTTCATAATAGACAACAAATAGGGTAGTTAAGTTTGACAACAATGAATGTATGGTTGGGTAGCATGACTCTGGGGACTGCGATGGAACGTCTTACTTGAAATGCAATAGGAAATCGCCATCGAAATGCGGTCTCTCCGTTATTAACTTCGAGGCAGAGGTGTCAGAAAACAATTCTCGCCAAAAACGGGGTAAAGTCGTGGCATCACTCACTGAACGATAATCCGAATTCCAGCCAATATGCCACTACAACACCAAAAATGTTTAATGTGAATTCGATGGCGATGAATTGACCTCTCGAGGTGTGCTCAGCTGTTTCCGTAGCCCTAGGGAAGGAAAATCAGAGGAGTTATGGTTGCGAGTTGCAAGAGACGGATGCCGTAAGTTACTCACCAGACGGGGACAACAGCATTCAATATGCCTGTTCCGATCCCATTGACGGCTCTAGCTGGGCCTGCTTTAGCCTCTGTATCCAAAGCCATATTCGGAATTCTTACATCCAATCATCCAGTTGCTATTCATGGCCGCCGTCTGTAGGGAAGCGCCAAAGACTGCCCACCCAGCGCCAACTGCTATGGTCTTGATTCTACCAATACGGTCCCCCAGCCATCCTCCGCATAAGCAACCAAACAAAGTCCCGAGGTAGTAAACTGATATAATACCGCCTTGAAGAAGACTGTTTGTTATTACGGGGTCTCCAGTTTCTTCGTCCACATAACCAAAGCCCATAAGGTCAATATAGTGTTTCGCATTATTGACGCCACCCATAACACCTATAGCACATTCGAATTAGTGGCCAGGAATTTGGGGGCGTAATGGGAGCCCGGAGAGAAATACCTTGGTCGTAACCAAAAAAGAAAATCGAAAGAGCGGCCAGAGAGTTGATGGCTACTAACAGTGCCCGCTTCTCGAAGAAATTGGCTACATTGAGCCCCGGTAGACGTTCCATATTGGACGATTGTTTCTCGTTTGAGTTGATATCGATCTTGTTTCTTCTCGACAAGTGGATGAAAGGTACCAATGATAAAAGGCAACGGGTTGGCGATCCTTGTCTCACGCGATTGGCCGGAAACAACCCGAGAAACTTTGTCCATGAATTCTCCGGCGTTGCACGAGCCCGACCTTTTATCTGGTAGAAATGAAAAACACAACAAGGAAGCTCATCGCGCCGGAATACCATTAAAGGGATCGCTCGGGATACCCCCGTCACTTGTGCGTTGTGACTCGGACGGGCTCAGACTAGTATGCATATGCCCCCACCTCATGCGACCCCAGATCTCCCCAGCCGGGGAAAATATTTCATCACCTTTTGAATTATGGGATGATGGTCGGGCTGTTCTCCCCCGAGTTTCTAAGCGCCGCCTCTAATAGGAATGATCGGCACATATTAACGTACCTGATAAGTGTATAGATTGCCAAGGGGATTATTATTGATGTTGTTGAGTAGAAGTTCTAGTCATTGAAGGAATCCACTGTGAGGGGTAATATAGCTACTCCCACCGTACCTACCATGATTTGGCCAGATTCCCTTGCCATAAGCACCGCAAAGGCGAAACCAGATCGTTAATCATTACAAGATTCCTTTATCCTTGGCTATTTGTACGAGTATTCCATCACTTTAATCTTTCCACCAACAGATTCCTCACCCGACCCCTATCCGGCCCCGAAAAAACCACACAACATATAAAGGTCTCATAACAGGAGACAAAAAACAACACAATAAGGGCACCGGTATATACGTAGATTGTTAAATATCGTATAAGAATTTTGTTATAATTTCGTTTATAAACTATAGTTAACTATAGTAAATTTAAAAGTAAAGGGGATTTATCTTTTTTCCGTAATAAAGGGGAGAAGGAAAATAATAAACCGTTTATACAAGCTATACGGTTAGAATTTCTTCTTATAATAAGGATTTCTTAATTATTAAGTATTAATAAGATTCTTTTTAATTAAGGGAAAATAATAAGCTATATATTATAAACTATACTTATATAAAGGAGAATTCTTTTAATTTAATAAAAGAAATAATGTTTTAATTTAACTATTAATATATTTCTTATTTAACCTGGCCACTTAATTAACTTAGCTATATTTTTAACCTTTATATATACATTTAAAAATATTTTAATAATTATTTATATAATTAATTTAAATTAATTAAAATTTAAATTATTAAATATTTTTATAATATTTTTATAAATTTATATATTATAATTAAGTTTATTATAAACTTTATAATATTAAGTATAAATTTCCTTTTTTTTATATAATAATTATTTTAATATATAATATAATTTTTTACTTTAATAATATTTTATAACGTATCTCCCATTTAACCTAGCTACCCAATTAAGCTGGCCACCTTAATAACCTATATAAAATCCTATTATTTTAATTTAGGATAATGTTATAAATACTTATTATACGATTTAATAATTAATACTTTTAAATCTATTATTTAAAGGGGAATCTAATAGTATTTTTTATTATTTTTTATAAAATTTATTAAGCGAGATATTAAATAATACATTAAAGTAATATTAAGTAAGGATTATTTTAACGCTTATTTTAATGTATTGCTTAATAATTCTATAAATATAAATTATAAAATTTAATAAAGGAAATTATTAAAAAGCTCTTTTTATTATAAATCTAATAGTATATTTTATTATTTTATAGGATTAATATCTATAAGGTTATTAAATTATTATATAATTAATGTACCGATATTTTTTATATGGCCTGGGGGGGTGGCCAGCTTGATTGGGTGGCCAGGTTAAGTGGGAGATGCATTACCTTTATTTAATCTTTAATATCTTTAATAATAAAAGATCCTTTATTTTATAATTTAATTTTTTTTATATAATAATAATGCATTTCCCACTTAACCGAGCCATGTTTTTAACCTTTATATATATATAAAAAATCCTTTATTTTTCCATTAATAATAATGGAAACCTTTTATAAAAAAAGCAACCTATAACTTATATTTTAAACTATTAAATAAAACTTAAAATTATTTATTTAATATATTATTATTATTATTAATATTTTATATATAATATTTATACTTTAAATAAAAGGGTTTAAATTAATAAATAAAATATTACCTTTAAAAGCTTAATTAATTTTAAATAAAAAAATTAATTATATAATATATTTTTAATTTTATAATAAAATTATTTTTACCTTTATATAATTATTTAAAAAATATAATTAATTAATTAATAATATTATAGGATTAAAAGTTAATTAAAAAAATTAAATAATAAACTTTATATAATAAACTTTAAAAATTTAAATATATTTTAATTAAAAAATTAATTATTAATAAATATTAAATAAAAATTTAATTAAATATTATATTTAATTTATTTTTATATAAAAAATAATAAATAAAAATAATATTTAAAAAAAAATATTTATAATTTTAATAAAATTAAATTTATAATAAATAAAATTATATTTAAAATAAATAAAATTATATTTAAAATAAATAAAATTATATTTAAAATAGTTATAACTTTAATTAAATATAATTAAAAATTATAAATTATTTAATTAAATAATTTAAAATAGTTTAACGTATTTCCCATTTAACCTGGCTACCCAATTAAGCTGGCCACCCCCATAGCCCATACAAATAACATCGGTACGCTAATTATGTAATAATTTAATAACTTTATAAATATTAGTTGTATAAAATAATAAAATATATTATTAGATTTGTAATAAAAGGAGCTATTTAATGGTACCCTTTATTAGTTTTTACGATTTTTATTTATAGAATTATTAAGTAATACGTTAAAGTAAGCATTAAAATAATCCTTACTTAGCATTACTTTAATATATTACTTAATATCTTGCTTAATAAATTTTATAAAAAATAATAAAGAATAACTTTAGATTCCCCTTTAAATAATAAATTTAAAGGTGTTAATTATTAAAGATTAAAATAATAGGGTTTTATATAGGTTATTACGGTAGCTATATTAATTGGGTAGCCAGGTTAAATAGAAGATATGTTATAATTATTTAAATAATTTTATTATATAATTAAATTATTTTATTATATATTATTTTAATAAGAAAAAATTACTTTATACTTTAATATAAAAATAATAATATATTAAATAATTAAAAGATTATAATTATAAAAAATAATTAAATAATAAATAAATAAATTATAAATTAAATTAAATATTTTAATAAATATATAAAGCTTTATATAAAAGAATATTATTACTTTTTTTTTTTAATAATTATAAAAGTTATTATTTATATAAATTTAAATTATATTATAAAAAAATAATATTATTACCTTTTATATATTTTTTTATTCTTTTTATTACTTTTAATTATTTAATATTAAAATATTTAACCTTTTAAAATAATTATATAAATATATAATGCATCTCCCACTTGACCTGGCCACCCAATTGACCTAGCCACCCCACTAGCCCATATAAAAATCGTCGGTGCACTAATCACGTGATAATTTAATAACTCCACAAATACTAATTGTATAAAATAATATAATATACCATTAGATTCGTAATAAAAAGGGCTATCTAACGGTACCCTTTGCTAACTTTTCCGACTTATATTCACGGAGTTATTAAGCAATACGCTAAAGTAAGCGCTAAATTAATCCTTACTTAACGCCCCTTTAGCGTATTACTTAATATCTCGCTTAATAAATTTTGTAAAAAATAGTAAAAAATACCGTTAGATTCCCCTTTTAATAATGAATTTAAAGGTACTAATTATTAAATCGTACAACCGGTATTTATAAAGTTATTAAAGATTGAAATAATGGGGTTTTATATAGGTTATTGGGGTGGCCAGGTTAATTGGGTAGCCAGGTCAAGTGGGAGATGCATTATTATTTATATTTAAAAAGAAAATTTTATAATTATATTTTTTTATATATTTAATAAAATAATTATTTTAAATAATATATAAGGGAAATTTAAAAAAATAAGTTTAATATTATATAATTTAAAATATATTATTAATTAATTAAATTATTTAATTATACTTTAAATTAACCTTTTATTCCTATTATTATTTAATTTTTATATAATTATAACTTTAAATAATTTAATTAAAGTTAATTCCTTTTTTAAATATTAATAATTAAATAAAAAAATATATAATATTTAAATAACTTTTTTATATTTATTATTAAAAGGTTAAATTAAATTATATATAATATAATTAATATTATATAACGCATCTTCCATTTAACCTAGCTACCTAATTGATATGGCTACCGTAATAACCTATATAAAACCCTATTATTTTAATCTTTAATAACTTTACGAATACTAATCGTACGATTTAATAATTAACACCTTTAAATTCATTACTTAAAGGGGAATCCAAAGGTATTTTTTACTATTTTTTATAAAATTTATTAAGCGAGATATTAAGCAATACGCTAAAGTAGCGCCAAGCAAGGATTATTTTCATGCTTACTTTAGCGTATTACTTAATAACTCCGCAAATAAAAATCGTAAAAACTGGTAAAGGGTACCGTTAAATAGCTCCTTTTATTACAAATCTAATGGTATATTTTATTATTTTATACGACTAATATTTGTAGAGTTATTAAATTATCACGCGATTAACGCACCGACGTTTTTTATATGGGCTAGGGGGGTGGCCAGCTCAATTGGGTGGCCAGGTTAAGTGGGAGATGTGTTATATTATATTTTTAAAGTTATTAATTTTAAAAGTTTTAATAATATATTTAAAATAATTATATTACTTTACCTTTATATTCCTTTTATTTTTATATATATAAAAATAACCTTTATATTCCTTTTATTTTTATATATATAAAAATAACCTTTATATTATAATAATAATAAATATTTATAGTTTATTATTATATAAAAACTATTAAAATAATACCTTTATTTATTAATATGTTTTATATTTTTAAATCTATTTATTATAAAAGTTCTAATAATATATTTAAAATAATTATATTACTTTACTTTTATTTTACTTTTATTTTAATATATATAATAATAACCTTTATATTATAATAATAATAAATATTTATAGTTTATTATTATATAAAAATTATTATTATATTATATTTATTTATTATATTATATTTATACTTTAAATTTTTATTTAAAATTAAATATTAAATAATTAAATATTTTAATTTTTAATCTTTAATTTAATTAAAGATTAATTTAATCTTAATTATAACTAAATTAGTTAGATTAATTTAGTCTTAATTAAAGCTATAAGTGATTAAAGATTAATTTAGTCATTCATTTAATTACTTTAGTTTAATTAATTATTAACCTTAATTATAACTATATTAATAATTATAAAAATAATAGCAATAATAATAGTTATAATTATTAAAGAAATAATAATAATAATTATTATTAATATTTTTAAAGTTTTAATTATTAGGAAAATT